AGCGGGTTACTATTGTCAATTAAAAGTGAGTAGCTTATTTGACCATTTTGATCAGAGTCTGCATCCGCTGCTGACAATCTTTTAATAACTGCTCCTATTGGACTGTTTTCTTTTATGAAGACGTTTACAGCGTCTTCTGGGAAATTGGGTTTGTTATCATTAACATCAGCGACGTGAACAAGAATGACGCCGGTGTTGGAGAGAGATGGATTCCCCTCATCTCTCACACTGATGCAAATATTATAGTGAGCCGCTGTTTCTCTGTCAAGCGCTCCATCAACAATTAAGGAATAGTAATTCTTATAATTTGCTTCTAATTTGAAAGGAACATTATTGGAAATTTCACAGTTAACCATTCCGTTCATCCCGCTGTCTTTATCATACACAGAAACAAGAGCAATCGCGGTGCCAATGGACGCATCTTCTCTCACTGTATTTAAAAGCGATGTCACTGTAATTTCAGGTGCGTTGTCATTCACGTCTAAAATTTCAATCAGTAATTTTGCATTTGAAGTGAGAGGAGAGTTTGCTCTATCACTGGCTTGCACTTGAATCTCAAACGCATTGTTCTCTTCAAAGTCTATGTTGTTTCTGTTCGTTATTGTGCCATTTTGTTCGTTTATAGTGAATAAGCTTGTTTGTTTACCTTGGTCTATTTCAATCAATGAATACAATATTTGGCCATTCTGTCCTGCATCTAAGTCCGTAGCATTTAGAGTAATTATTGGTGTTCCGATCTTAACGTTCTCATACACACTGGCTTTATAAAGTTTTTGACTGAAAACTGGAAAATTATCATTAACATCCAACACATTTACTATAATAGACATACTTCCTGAGTTAGCTGGTGTTCCTCCATCAATGGCAGTCAGCGTGAGTCGTATCACAGACTGCTTTTCTCTATCTAACATTTTCTGTAGGACTAGTTCGACAAACATAGTCTGTCCCTTATGCGTATTCAGAGAAAAATATTCATTTTGACTGAGCTTGTATGCATTAACAGAGTTCTTCCCTACATCTGAATCGTGAGCCCGTTTCAGCAGGAATTTAGCTCCTGCTGTTGTGCTTTCGGTAATATTAATCGTCTGCAACATGCTGGGAAATGATGGCGAGTTATCATTGACGTCTAAAACAACAACTTCAACACGGTACAGTTTCAGAGGGTTATTTATGACTGCTTCTACACCGAGTGAACACTTTGACTTATCACCACAGAGCTGCTCTCGGTCGATTCTTTCATTTACATAGAGAGCACCAGTCTTCACATTTACCTCGAAGTATTTTCTCTTAGATCCAGCAACAATCTGAAACATCCGCGTTTCCAGCTCTTGGACATTAATGCTCAGATCTTTGGCTATGTTTCCCAAAACAGTCCCGATGTTTGACTCCTCTGCAACGGTGTAAGTGAGCTGCCCAGATACAGCGTCCGAATAACAGTTCAGCAGCGTGAGCAAGAAATAAATCCATATCGAGCTCGGTCTATCCAATCGATGCATAATTCTAGACGTATGACAAAGCATACGGACAAATCAAGACAACATCCTGTAGTATGGTATAAAAAAGCACAAGATAGGGATCAGAAAGCAATTGTTCCGAATGGAAATGTCACCATGTTCGCAACAGACGACGACCGTCCTTTGTCTCGATAACTCTTTGTGAAAGAGCAAAGAGGAATCGTTCACTATATCTGGGAGGAGTCCTGAATCATTCCATAGAAATGCTACGGTCTGCACTGTCCTCTGCTGGAGCGTTACTGGAAAAGTCTACCCTTAAAAATCGGTGAATAAATAGCATTAAACGATATTCACCTATGCAATATTTTATTTATTTATTTATTTATTTATTTATTTAT